GGATTTGGCAGTGCTGGGTTTATGGTTGGACTTGATAATCTTAGAGGTCTTTTCCAACCTAAAAGAATCTGTGATTCCATGGTAATTACAAGGTAGATATATCAGAGGATCACAGCTCAACTCCCGTGAGTTGGAATGACCTTGGTTGCAGGAGATGTAACCCAGGTCTGTCACTCAGACAGCACCCTAGGTGATAGGATATTGTATTTGGTGAGACTAGTGCCAGTTTTGATGGCCAGAGGGTGTGTGCTAGACTTAATCCTTAACTATGCTTTATTCAGCAGTGCTTCCTTCAGCTACTCTGAAATAATTTCCTGGGTACTTAAGAGTGTGGAGGGGACCTTGCCTGTTCCAAATGTGCTCGCTGAGTACTTAATGATTTCAGAGCTAGGTGGTCATGAGTGGATGACTTCCTTTTCCACACTTAACTCACTTTTTTGGGGGTTTGAGCAATGTTTAGCACTTAAGCTGTATTTAGGCATGGCCATGCTGGGTATTAAACTTAGCACTGCCATTTGCAGGTGTGAAGGTGTCACTGAATACCATGGAAATGGTAATTGGATTACACTCTGTATAAATGCTTTTCTTTCATTTAAAGATTTTTCTGTGCTGGCAGTTAATTTCTTAATGGGTTTAAGACAGTTCTTCCACTACTTTAATTATTTAATCTCTATCACAGCTGAATAACTAAATAGACGTAGGAAAGAATTACTGTGCTTCTATGCATCTGGATGCTTTGTGGTTTAAAAAAAAATAGCAGAGAAATATATTTTCTTGCTACTTACATTTTCTCTAAATCTTCTTACAAAAGAAGATTTTCAAGGCATAAGTATGAAAATTAAGTTACCTGTCCATGACTGACCAACCCGTGTTGTCTGTTGCAGAAGTTCACAAGCTGTATCTCAGCAAAGCAGCATATAAACACTGTCTGAGGGGCCAATATTGAAGTATGTTCCTACTCCAGCGTTAACAGAAGTGAAAAATAAATTCGGGAAGCCTAGCCCAGGGTGAACATTGTTCCACATTGTCAGCTAACCTCCTTCAGCTGTGGCTTGGTTGTGGTTAATTGGGTGATTTGCTCAGGAAACTGGGCTGAAAAATTCCTTGGCTAATATGATTTGAATACAAGAAATTTTAAAATTGAGAACCTGTTCATCTGTGTAGTTGCAACCTCTCCCTGTGCTTAAAGTTTTTTTGTTGTTTGTTATTTGCTTTTTTTTTAATGTCTTCTCCCCTCTTGCAATTAGAAGTGTTATCAGGGCAAACTAGATATTTGGGAATGTCCAGACTTTCCAAAGTATGGTTTATTTAGCAATGCGGTATTCCCCTTGCTGCTTTCCACTTAAGGAATTAGCTGAACATTAACATGATTGAGTATCTTTCATAGCATACTGTGAAAGAGATACTAAACCACTCACTCAGCAGCCTTTGTCAACACTTCAGATTATAAATGAAATGAATAAATTAAAAGGATGTTGATTTACAACTGAAAGGGTGGTCTTCAACACATTGGATCACTAGCTGAGCTTCTAAAATTATGTTTACTGAAATTCTAGATTATGGTTTACAAGCAATAGTGCAAATCACTTGCAGAATAAATAAATGTGTATACTTGAAATCTTTAGTTTTAATTATGCTTTTGAGTCTCATAATTATTTTTTTCCCCTTGCACAAACTTAAATATTCACTATTTAATAGATTGCAGAATCTAAAGACAATTGAATAATTTTAAAGCCAAAAATAGTAAGAGGCACTTTGGTATAAAGGCCTGCCTCCTGTCTGCTATATATCTTCATGCTAATAAATGATGTGTGATTAAATTCTGAGGCCAGCTTTGAAAAATCCCATGTTAATTTAAGGGTAATTAAATATGGAAATCTGTTATGAGTGCTGTGTAGGTAACTTTATTTATGCTTAGTAAAGTATAAAATGGGCATCTCTATTTATAAAGCTATTGTTTAAGGTTCCCATTTATTCTGTCCTTGATTTAATTCAGTCTATTCAAGTTTTGCTCAAACAGCAGGTTTGGTCATTGGTAAATAACATTAAAATAGTTCAACCCTTTGATCTGTACAGTCCTTATATATAATGTGCCTGAAGGCATGTGTAATGTAAATATTTTGTAAGTGCAAATAATTAAAAGATTTTTTATAATAGACATGTTGAAACTAGCAGTATTTTGAAGATTTTTCAGTTCCTGTTGGATGACACAGGGAGAAAATATGCAAGAAAAACCTCAATCTCAAAATTTACAAATCATTTGGTTTTAATAGCACTTATAAAATTATTATGCTTTTAAATCCCAACCATTATTTACATAGGAGAAAAAGTATTCTTATTTATTTCCATAATTATATAATGTATAGTGATTTTAAGCTTCATGTACAAAAGTATTCTTATTTATTTCCATAATTACAGAATAGTGATTTTAAATTTCAGAAGTACAAAAATTGACAAGGTGCATCAAAGTTCTGATTTTATTTGGAGCATGCTACTGTGTTTATTAATATTACTTAGTTGATCTGCTGAAAAAGCGTTTCTAGTTAAAGAATTTTGTTACATTTTTGATTATTAGACTGTTGGGTTGAACACCATCCTATGACCATGACACAGTTCAGTGAACAAATTCCATCTTTACATACTAATCAATACTGAGGAATCCAATAAAGAAATTGTCAGTTCCTGGTATGAACTCCATCTCCAAGGAACATGTCAGGGAAAAGTCCCTGCCAGTGCAACTGCTAATGCACTGGTTTACTCCAAAGGTTGAACTGCTCAGTTTTCATTCTTGAAGGCAGTATAGTTATCATTATAGTTATAGTATAGTTGTAGTATATAGTTGTCATTAACTTCTTGCTTTTTCACAGCAATTAATTTCTAAATATTGTGAATGAGGAGGTAGCCTGTTAAATTGAGGTCACCTTTTGTTTCCTCTGTGATTCTGGAACTTATGAAGGAAAGGGAGATGTTTCTCCTGATCACTTGAAACCAGTTCTTAAACAGCTTTGAGCTCTAATACACTGCAAGGAGCTCTTGAAGGTCCTTTCTAAAACAAGCAGCATCTTTGCATTTCCCCAGAGCTCAAATTGTTCATATATGTATAACTGCAAAGCTTTCTGTAGCTTAAAACACAGAGATTTTCTAAGATGAGCTACTATTTATTCTCAATCCTTCACACTGGTAATTGTTCTCAGTAACTATTTGTACAAATATTAAAATAAAATTATTTCTAAATGCTAGTTTTGTTGAAGCAAGAGACATTCCCAAAAGACGTTGCATATTGTAAATGTACTTTGCTCAGAATACATTTGATTTCTTTGTGGTGTCTGAGGGTATAGTTTAGGGTAAGGCAAGTGCAGGCTCCACTGAAACCAGCAGTCCTTGCTTGTCTCATCTTTGACAGAGCATTTCAGCTGCGTCAGTTACTTGCATCAGAAAGCTGAAAAATACTACAGGAAAACAAAAATGGAAGTTGTCTGCCTGGTACAACTGACTAAAACCTCACTGCCAGTGCAAGAGGTAGGGAGAGGAAGCTGGATTGTCTTTTCTACCAGCAGCCCACACTGGTTTTACCTAAATATGTCAGGAAGAATTACCTAAATTGTATTCTAAGAAAGCAAACGACCAGTTTTACTTGTAGGATAGATACAAGATTTAAGAGATAAAAGATACAAGAAAGAGATTACTCATTTCATTTAACAGCTCTTTTAGCTGAAGTGCCTGACACTGTTCTGTCAAGTTTATGAAATTCCTGAGCAATCTTTATTATCATTTTTTCTTAGGCCCTCTAGATTACTATAATGATACATCTTTTTAATGTGTGATTTTTCTCTTGTTTTCCTAGAGAATTGTGTCGCTGTTGTTTCATTTGCTTTGGTCTTAAATTGAAAGGTTGGAGAGCACATGAATGCAAGGGTGGAGGCTGGAGTTCTCTATCTGTCACACAGAACAGACGGGGCTGAGCTGTATCTTAGTTTGTGCAAAAGCAAATCCTGATCTGAGTCTTGCCCTTATGGAGGCTGAGGAGCCTGCACAGGCAAATTCCATACTTGCCGTAAATGTACACCATCATCGGCTTTTGCTGACAGCTTCAGTCAGCTGGCAGAAGAAGCTTCACAACCCGAGACAACTTTTCATTATCCATAACTTAAATGCTTTAACATTCTGGAAATAAAGATCTGTAGCTTAAACTTGGCACAGGGCTCTGTGGGAAACCAGTGAAGCACAAGGAACAACAGAAGGCGAGGAAGTTCAGGCAGTGTAGCCAAGGAGACACCCAGGTGCATCGCAGCTAGTTATCTGTTGCTTTTCTGTGTGAGTCTCACAAGCCTGTGTAAGTACATTGCATTGCTGTTTCCAACAGGATTTAGGAGGGGAATGTAGTGCCAAAGCCAAGTTGGCACTTCTGAGAGGCCAGAGCACGTCACTTGGAGAAGATGTACTGTATTGCTGCTTGAGATGTCAGTATTTGGGCAGAGTCCAGTTGTGGGTTTGCTTGCAGTTTAAGTACTCAAATGAAATGGCTGTGATTATGAACTTTCTCCCTTTGTCTTGATGTAGTCTGGTATAATTTTGTTCCTTATCATTTATCACATTAGAGCCACAGATCTATCAAGTAAATGACAAGTATATAATCAATTGTATTTTCATGATAAAGAATATTGCAAGATTTGTATCTTTCTCTTCTTTGGTATCTGTAAACTTTGCAAAAACCCAGCTAAGCATGATCCTGTGTAAGTAATGTAATGGCTCAACACTAGGTTTTCCATTAACACTTTAAAGATAATTGCTTCCAGAAAAGATCAATTAAGTGCATTTTTGTGGATTCCTGCCATGAAGATGATACTGTAATGGTACAAGTATGCCTTCATGAAGGATAAAGAATATTGGTGCCTCTAGACAACACATATAAAAAACATCATTACAATCTCTTGTTACTTCATATTTGGCTATTGCTTACTTGGGGTTTCTTGTTTCTTTTTTATTTTTTTGCTAAACAGACTTGGATTATCACTTGCTTTTGTCTTCAACTCGTCCTACTTAATCCTCTTGTCAAAGCCCAGAGTTCCTGCGGGAATCCAGTCACAGATGATGTGAATGACATTGCAAAATTGGTAAGTACCTTTTATTTTACGCTATTCTGTACGTTAAAATAGTGTCTAAGGGCACTTATGTTTCTAAGCAAAGTTATTAAGTCTGTATTGAAACTAGGGGAATATTAAAAGAAAATCCATCAACAATCTGTTACTTGAACAAAACCATTTTTTGGAGTGAAAGTAGTTCCAGTGTCAATTGAAGAGATTACCTTGATCAAAATGGAGTGTATGTACATATGTAGTTTCCTGACTACAAACTTCAGTCAAAATTGTCAAAAATCTTTATTTCCTCAAACATTCTTTCAGAGCAGATTGTTCCCCCTGCACATGAAATATTATTTTCTTTGTGTTACTGACTTGGATGGAGCAGACCAGCAGCAAACAGCTGAATTGAAGTAGAAGTCTTTACCTTGGGTATATGAAAGACAAGTGCCATATATAAAAATAGTGTGACATTAGACATCGTTGGAGCAATCAAAGCAGTAACAATTGAACAGGTTTTGCAGTCTTTGACTGTGAGTGGGTTACACACATTATATGTTTCTCTGCTTGCTGCACCCAAAAGTTTAAGTCTGAAGGACTCACAGCTTCATATAAAAACTAAATTAATTTAAGGAAGTTTTAACTGTTACTTAATTTGCCTCTGCATTAACCTGAAAAACAGCATCTGCTTGTGAAGTCAACTAGTGTTTAGCTCCACTGAAGTTAATAATTTTGCTATTTTGCAGTAGTGCAGAATATAACACCGAAGTTTCTAAGAAATAATATATACTGAACACTTAGGAAGCCTATCTTCATCTGTGTATTGAATCCAGCTGAAAATTGTGGCTTCATTGTGGGAAAAAAGTTGCAACATCAGCGTTATTATTATCAAATACTTGTATTGAAACCCCTATCATTTGCTGCCTGTGCAGTGTTCTTAACTTGTTTTCTTTGGTCCTTTTTATACACATTGGCACATAGTGTAAATCTCTAGGTGTGCTCTATAGTCCTACTTAAATGTTTAGTGCTTCAAATTAGTCCCTTTAGGCAGAATTTTGAAGTATTGGCATATTTATTCCAGATAATATTTCATCTCTGGAAGAGTATTAAGCTTCGATGTAAACCTGTTGAAAGCCTGCAAGAACAACAGAATTCCTGTGAGGGCTGGTGAAATTGTGTAGTGCAGGGATAGTAATAACTTTTTGTCAATTATGTGTCCTGAAAACAAAGGCTTTAACTTTCCCTTTAGTACAATCTAAACTTCAAGATCGTATAAATACAGATTACAAAAAATGTGCAAGCAGCTTGAATAATCACGCTGTTCAAGTTACACTGTTCTTCTGCTACTGCCCGGCTTGAGTAGAGTGGGGTTGGGCTGAACTTCTTTGGGCACTACTCCATGAGGATACTGTGTGGTCATTCTCCTGACTTAGACATATCTTTCAGATCACCATACAAATGCAAAACCGAGGTCAAGTTTCCAAGCAAATTCAAAGATACTTTGGGTTGGAGAAATAATAGAGAGATGCAGAAAGTACAAAGCCCCAGACACATAGATTCTCTCTGTTTTGAGTTGCATGAGTTGTTCTGAGAATATTTTGAGGAAAGCCTGTCTCCCTGTTTTGTCTGTGTTAATGTTTGCAGAAATAATTTCAATAAAGTCACTTGAGAATTAAAAAGATAAAGTGAAAATAAGTTTAGTACCATCAGTTTAGTATAAGAACTCTGTTCCAATTAATGTGACTGAATTGCGTGTTGATCATTCTCTTTTGAAATTCTACAACATGGCAACTAGACATTGAGAACAAAATTTTAAAAACTCATAATAAGGTTTAAAGTACTTTTAAAACAAAACTTTGTTAGCTGACAGTGTGAATATGAGAAGGGAGAAACCTGACTGATCATACTACTTTGTAGCAAGTACAGTTTTTTTTATGCTCTATGAACTATATCCTTAGTACATACAAAAAGGACTCCAACATGATACTACTTAAAAATATGGTTCAGGAGACCCTAAAACTCTTGCAAATTGAAATAAAAATTTTGTACCATTTCTGCTTTTTGAAACACAATATATTGATTAAATTGAGTGATATTCCAATGATGCGTGTCTTCAAAATTCAACCCAACCCCTGAGCCGCTCCTCATATGACTCACTCTCTAGATCCCTCCCCAGCTTTACTGCCCCTCTCTGTTGCTCCTCTTGCATTGAGAGGCCCAGAACTGGACAAAGGACTTGAGCTGTGGCCTCAGAATTGCCAAGTACAGGGAGACAATCACTTCCCTGATCCTGCTGGCCACAGTATGGCTGATACAGACCAGAATACCAACAGCTTTCTTGGCCACCTGGGCACAAGTTGGATCATGTTCAGCCAGCCTTCAACCAGCAGCCCCAGGTCCTTTTCTTTCAGGCAGCCACTGTTCCCCTAGCCTGTAGCACAGGATAGAGTTGTTGTGATAAGTGCAGGACCTGGCACTTTGCTTTATTGAACCTCAGACAACTGGTCCCAGTCGACTGATGGATCTTGTCCATCTCCCCCTGCAGAGCCTTCTTACTTTCCCGCAGGTCAATTCTGCCACCCAACTAAGTGACTGAGAGTGCTCTTGGTCACATTGTCCAGATCATCAATAAAGATAATAAATAAACTGATACTGGCTGACCCCAATAATGAGCCCTGGGGAACACTAATCACCACCTCATTGTGGCACCATTCACCAGCCATCCAGACAGTTTTTACCCAGTAAAAGGTGTACTTGTCCAAAGCATGAGCTGCCAGCTGCTCTGGGAGTATACTGTGGGAGACAATATCCAAGGCTTTACTGAAATCAAGGTAGACAACATCCACAGTCTTTCCCTTTGTCTGGAGATTCTATGGGCCTTTAAGTAAAAGTTTTATTTCTTTACTCATCCAAAGAATCTGTGCCTGTAGAACATAGGGTCTTTAATAAATATCCTTCCCTTTCACACTGAGAACAAATTGTAGCACAGAGGATTTTACAGAAGTGTTATGTGTACAGTTACTGCTTATAGTTCTTATGATGTTATCCACAACCTCTGTCACGTTTGGACACAGTGTTATAATAGTTGTACCTAAATGATTTCTTCTCAGCCAGGCTGTCATGTTCTTTAACCTTTTGTCCACATTTGTGAGTATAGTCCCATGTCTGTGTGCAGTAAAGTATCTGTTCAGTGGTAAGTGCACAAATCCCATCACTTAAGGATATTGGCCTCTCTTCCTCCTGTCTCATCACAAATTATCAAACATAACCAGCGCAGAGTCTAGATTCAGTTTGGCATGAATCCTCCTCAGAGGTAGAGTATGATCTCTTTCATCATTGTCTGTCTCTTTCGTCTCTTTCATGTCAATCTGTCCTGAGCCATTTCTCGTTGCTGTAAAGTTATATCACCATCTCTCCCCAGCCATTCAGGTCTTCAACAAAGGTGTGTGATTTGGCTCTTGATGCTTCACAGACCCTTCAAAGTTCACTTTTAAAACTTTCATTGTTTGTCTTGTCATAATAGGAGAAAATTTTTTGTAGTTCTCTGGACAAATAAGTACATTTTTCTTCCAAATTCTTGGTGGATAAAAATCCAGTCTATGAAAAATCTTTTTCTAGCTTCAGCTTCTGTAATTTTTCTCTTCTGTTTGTTCACATGCTGCTCTGACCCTTTATCTTCTACTTATTTCCTTCAAGCTGTTCCTCCTTTTTTTCCACTATCAATGGCAAGCTTCTTGGGTTTTCTTCAAAGGTACTATTAACACTGCCTGTGTTGTCATAACACATGCTGAGTTTGCCCTCAGCTTCTCCTCATTATTTCCATGGTATCTGTTACACTGTTTGTGGTCACAGGAGAAATGCTCCTTGATGAACTCCAGGCAGATTCCCATCCTCTTCCTATCTCATGCTAAAATTCTTTGCAGTATGAATCCATATCCCTCATTTGGCTTTTTCTCCAGTATGTTTCCCCTGCCAAATGACACTATTCTACTACAGTACACCTACAGCTTGCTAAACAGTGCCACAATTCCCTACCTCGTCTTTGTTTATTTGGTACTGGGCTTGCTCCAAGTACTGTAAAGACTCTACATCACTTGTAGCAAACTCCTGAGCATGACTGTGGCAATGTTCTCCTCAGCTTTATTGTACTATAGGGATATGAGAACATGCCTCAGTCAAGACCCTCAGTGAATGTAGACATTAGGTGTCTACTAAGCCTAAGTTATTGGAGAATAAGTAAGGCATGTTGTGCAATGCCTGAAAATGTGGGTCATTTGCCTAATCAACTTTGTTTTGAGCAATAAATTGAGGATAGATGCATGGTTTAACTTGTTTTCAGTGGTCTTAATAAAGATTTTCACTAGCACCATGCTAGACTCACACCAGAGTAAAGAATTGGAGAGAAAGAAATTCAATAACCATAAGGCTTCTGAGCATTAGTCAATGTAAGACCAAGCCAGATTGGTATCTCTTCATAAAAAAATGGCTTGTATATTCTGTAAGATTAAACTTAATCACATTTAGGTAATATAATTTTGTCATATGAAGAATATATCCTAAGTAAAATTATATTAAGAAACAAAGAACAGTTGAACAGTCATTTTTGGTTTTTAACGGTGAGAAGTTTAAAAGAGCATAATTTCATACCTATAGAGAATGAAAGCATGTAGAGAGTATTCATTCTGCACTACTCATCATGTGACCTCCTGCTTCGTTTGTAATGAAGATGTCTGGAGGGAAGAACATTACTTGATGAGCAAATGTTCCGTATTATGAAACTGTAATTGCAGCACCTGTCAATAAAGCCTGTCCCCATTGTTCTTTTCAGCACAGTAAGTTAGCAGAAAGCTGTATCTCTGTAATTGTGCATTTGATTTTGCATAATAATTAGGAATAAGTTGTATATATGTTCGTTAAATATGAACATCAAAACCTACATATAAATAGAATTTTCACTGAGCTGTGCAGAATGTACAGAATATACCTACATATTTTTGTTTCGTCCATTAACAAAATCTAAAATACCTCTTCTTCCATGAACTGCTTCTCTAAAGCAATTTTCTTCTTTTGAATGTTGTAAACACAAACAATAGTCAGGATTTACTGACCAGTTCCTTGCTTGAGACATGCTGTCAAATACTTTGCTTTCACATTACATCTTTGCTGTAAATATGTACTTTACTCTCTCCACCACATTTGATTTTTATTTTTAAATGGATTTAACTCTCCTGAGTGAAGGGCTTATAAAAAATTATCCAGAGTTGTTATGCTGCAAATAATCTGCCACTATGACTGTAAAAAGTGTGAACGGAAATCGTTAGCATGTTGTCTTAAGCCAAATGATGAAGATTTTATTAACTGCTTCATTAGCAGATGAGATAGAGTGGATTGCAGAGAAGAAGGGCAGACAGTGGAAGCTCCTGCAGGAAAAGAAAAGCCAGGGAAGCAGTGAGAAAGAGCCAGAGAGGGACTTTTGACAAGGGCATGTAGTGCTAAGACAATGGGGAATGGCTTTAAACTGAAAGAGGAGAAATTTAGATTAGATATAAGCAAGAAATTCTTTACTGTGAGGGTGGTAAGGCACTGGAGCAGGTTGCCCAGAGAAGTAGTGGGTGGCCCTTCCCTGGAAAAGTGTCAGGACCAGGTTGAATGGGGCTCTGAGCAACCTGGTGTAGTGGAAGATGTCCCTGTCCATGGTAGGGAGTTGGAACCAGATGGTCTGTAAGGTCCCTTCCAACTCAAACCATTCTATTATTCTATGAAAAGAACAGGAAAAGGAAAATAAACAGAGAAAAATTCAAGGTAGAAGTTATATCCAAAAGGAAAATATGTTTTTTCCCATCATATGCTTCAGAGTAAAAATGAAAACACTGACAATGGAAAACGTTAATTTTACTTTATTAACATACTTTATCTTTTGTATGTGTGTAAAAAAATTATATCTGTGCTTGTCTTCTTATAATTTTCGTAACAATCACAATAAAAGGAATTTTCAGAAGCAGTAGCCCTCATTTCGAAGGATGTGACTGCACATAGGTCAACTCTCATGTCAGCTGTTGCAATGAAAGAGTCACTTTTATATCCTTTTTTCATCTCCACATCTGTGTGACCATGAGCATTTTTTAAAACATGTTTGGGCTGTGCAATGTTAAGAGTGCTGTATTAAATATTCAGACCTCTCTATGTCAAAAGTAATCTTACATTCCCCAGTTTGAGATTTTGTTACAACTGGGAATATAGCACTTTCTGTTGGTTTTATATGGATTTAAAGACATAAGTCTAGATTCCCTGCTCTTCAACTTTTCTCAGCCTGTTAGGATATCTGCAATTGCACACAGCCACTCAATCAGAGAAAAAATTTGTGACATTTTAATAGCAGTTCAATGCTTTTGGTTCTATACATTCCTTTGCAAGATTATCAGCTGACATTCTCTATAATAATCAAAACTGTTGCTTCTGTTTAAACCAAGGTAAGTTGTGCAGGCAGGTTTTGTGGCCCCCCCAGATTTGTCACTGTACTCATGGAGTTCAGTAGAGGAACTGATAAAAAAGCCATTCTAGAACTCAGGTGGTTTCAAGGGACAGTTCTTTTCCAAATACCTTTGCTCATGCAGGTCAGAGCCACCTTGTCATCTTCTTGTTGGAAGCCACAGCAGTCAGGCACCCTGCAGTGAGTGGGTGTGCAGAGTCCATTCATTCCTTTCAGGGTCATTCAGCAGATGAAATCCAGTGGTTGGTTTTGGATCAGAGTCTTGGTGGTTAGTGTCCAACGAAATTTCAAGATACATTTCAGCAAAGCAAGGGAGTACAAAATGCAGACCTAGTATAGACATATCTTTCACTCTTACATCAGAGGCTTTACCCTATTTTCTGTGTGTGAGTTGGGAAGTCCAAGTGTGACACAAATGTAACTCCCTCACTTTGACTGAGATCCATCATTTACCAGCACAGCATCTGACATGTGAACTTCAGTCAACAAAATTTTAACAAGTTTTGTCTTAAGGCAGTGAATGTATTTTGTCTTTGACACCCTCCTCCCAGTGATCTTCATTTTTAGTAGTAAATTCAAAAATATCTTATCTGATTCACAGTCTGTCAAGGAGAGAAATATCTGAGGCTGAGCTGTTTGCTCCAGCTCTGACTGAGAAGGTGTAAGAGCACTTGGGCACTTACATTTTTTTAACTGTGCATGAAAAGTGCTTGAGAGGCTCTGATGCTGGGAAAGTAGATTGTATACATAATGCATATCAATTCTTGTAGTGTTCATTGATGTGGAACAAATTTAATCTTCCAGTGACCTTTCTTAAAGAACAGTGGTTTTTGCTGGCATTGCTAAGTGTGGCATCCCTCTAGAGTGAGTATGGGAAACTTGGCACATAGAGTAGCATCTTCACTATCTGTGCTGCTTAAAGTACTGCTAATCCTACCTCTCTAGGCATGCAAAGGAAGCTAGAAAAAAAAATTAATACCTGTTAGTATGCTGTGATGCCATGATGTTTTAAATAAAGGAATAATAGACAAAAAATTTGGATCAGGATTTAGAATAAATCTGATGCTCTAAAGAAAGAACAAATGTTTTGAAATATTTTTCTGTATTTATAGCATCTTGAATCAACTCCTCAAAATGCCAGGTAAATAGAAATTAATATAGAGAATTTTAGTGGTGCTTCTGCTTTGGGAATGTGTAGGTATAAGAATAAGAAAAGAATAAAAGAAGAAACAAAACTGATTTATGGGAGGGAATTTTTAAGGATCATTTATACAGAAACTGTTCTAAAGCTATAGGAGAAAAATAGATATCATTGAGCTGAAAAATTGTAGCTTAGCCCACATAAATTAAAAAATGTTTGGAATTCACTTGTGTTTGGCTGTGTATAAGCATTACCCTTGAAAATTTCTAGAACCACAATGTTTTGAAATAACTGGCTTAATTTTTAATTGAAACAAACTTTTAATGTAAGAAATAAAACATTATTTTTTGCCAAACAAAATACTACCCATAAACTGCTCATGGGGAAAAGAAATCCCTGTGTTGGTTGCTATAGCAGCAGAATCAAAAGCAGCCATAACAGAATGATCTTGAACCTGAAGTAGAAATTCTTTAGCACCAAAGGAGCTACATCTGTGCATATTGTTTTTGATTATGTGGATTTCAAACCAGGATAAGAAATATCAATTGATGCTTTTGTTGATAGATGATAGGCTTATTGTATCATTAAGCATCATGTTATGATACTTTTGAAAAAATATCTCAAAAGACTGTGGATTTGTGGCAGGCCAGTGACTGTTGGACTGTTCATCTCCTAACCCAGCACATTGCCCAGATGTTCAGCCATGTCTCACAGTAGTGTTGGAACCCATCTGTGGCAGATTGTATAGGAAAATTCAGTGGGAACCCTTCTTCCACTCGTTGCCTTTGCTGCAGCACACTTCATGCTCACCCACATCTGCAAAGCTGCAGCTTATGTGTGTGGAAGCTCTCCTTTGCCCCAGGACATTGCTATGATATAATGATATTGCTCAACATTAGTAAGAAGCACAATTGCAAAGTTAAAGTTGTGCTCAAGTGTTTTTCTGACCTGGTACATAACAAGGCAGGCAAATATTTAGGTTCAGATGCATGTTGAAGTTGGATATTATTTAAAGGAAAAAGGGCTAGATACTTCTGGGTCCTCTACTGTCTATAGCAGAGGTAGTCATGTAGACACTTCAAGGCATTAAAAGACAGAAGGGCAGTGGAGTTTCTGCAGTAATGAAAAACATCAGATCACTTCTTCTCAACCCATTGTTGACTTCAACTTTGTTGGGAAGGAGTAGTACTGACCATGATCAGATCAGGTCTGGGCATATTGCAGAGCTGTGGAAAGATGGTTCACTTGTGAGTAAATAAGTGTCAATAGTAGTTCCACAGGAAAGTGAGCAAAAGTAAACATTTTTGCCTGCACCTGTAATTTACAGAAAATTTGTGTTTATATTTCCTAGATTTTGTTGAATGCAGTAATGGAAATAAAGTCTTACTTTGTGTAGTAAGTAATAACATTTTTATTATCTGTTTATTGTAGGTTGGAAATCTCCCAAATGATTATATGATAACCCTTAAATATGTCCCGAAGATGGATAGTCTGGTACGTACAACCACTTCAGGTTATTCCCAATAAAATAGCCCACTGGAACCAGTGACAGCTGTAACATTTTTTACCTAGTCCTATGTCTTAGCAAGTTAGACTTAAATAATGTTTATTTCACTTTTCATATGGTTCCCAAGCATTTATTTAAAAGAAATGTAGAGAGATTTCTGCAGTTCTTTAAAATTTATTTAAGTACAGGAATTCTAGGAAAGTGTTTCTTCATATTAATTTTTTAAATTTTTTTTTTCTGTGAAAAGTCAAATTTTCATTGTGTTGTTATTTCATCAATATTATTTCATTGTATCAATTGAAAAATATTGCTTTCTTAAAGAAATAGGTTCTCTGTAATTGTACTTTGGAACATACTGTAGAAGTCCTTCTTGTTTCAGCCAGTGGAAATGCCACTACAGCACAACAAATACTAAGTAGCCAGTAAAGAGAACCCCAAGTTCAACAAATGGTAGCATCACTAACTAAACAAACCAGTAGAATTTCAAACATGCTTTGTGTTATTCTTTCTTTATAATCCCATATTTAATACATAGTGGTACTTTCAAATAAGCATGATCTATACATCTTAAAATTTTATAACATTTTTATTTTAAAATCATATTATTTTATTGCTCAATCTACTACAAATTTTTGGTTTTCCTCAGTTTAACAAAACAAAAATTGAAATTTTGTATTGAAAACTTGGTTGTTGCATACATTGCAATAAAAAGGAGGAAAGGAAACAAGGTGAAAGTACAAATTGTACTGAATGCTATATTATTTTGAGGCAAGGAAAAAAGTAAGAAAATCATGATTTTGTCAGTGGAACTGAACAACACTGTGCCTGTCTTAAAAATTAATCCTTGTACACGTACATCAGTAGCTGGAAAATATCTGCTAAATGTAAGAAGCTGGTTTTGTGTCTGTGCAAAGTTTTCACTGTAAAAATCTGATTTGTATGTGATACACATAAAAATATATCCTACCCTACAACAATGTGGCAAATCTAGCAATATTCCCTATTGGTATTGGCAAATGATGCCAGAAGCAACATTCAATCCTGAATAACAAGAAGATGGGAGGAGGAAAAGGAAGCTGCAGGATAGTGAAGGGCTCTGAGTTGTTAGGTTATGAAGGGTTATGTCAGATGTAGAAGCGTTTTTAAGAGTTTTGCTGGAAGCTTGAGGTTTTCACTAGAGTTAGAGTACTTTGGAAAACCCAGTTTAAAGTTGGTTCCTTAGACAGGAAAACTCTGCAGAATAAATGCTATGGAAGTCAGGTACTAGGTCACATATAAATAAAACTAATAGAAAATTTTCCATTTCTTAGAATATCCAATATTTAGAGAAAAAGGAAGCAAGACTGGCTGCCACCATCCCCTGACTGCTGGGCTTTTTGAAATTCACAGATCTTGGTGTCTGATGTGATGATATTCACACCTGTGGAGGACAGCTGTAGCCTAAGTGCTGTTTCCCCAGCTTCCAGCCCATTAGCTAGATTGGGGCTGTTCCTCCACTGCACTCCTGGGGATGTTGGCAGATGAAGAAGGTCAGGGAACCTGCTTGAGCCATGAGCCCTAGTTGTTCTCTCTTGCCTCTCTCCATGGTTCAGTTTTGACTGCCAGTATGCAGATTCTTTTCCATTCTTTTCAGTGCTATGTCATCTTGATGCATCATATCCAGGAATTTAGATCCAGTTTACATTTACAACAAGCAGCCAAGAAATAAAAAGGAAGAAGAGAAGTTCAGAGCTGAGGCTTCCATGTTCCCTTTGCACACTGCTTTCAGTCATGGTAATGGCAGGTGCAGCTCTTGGCCACACGCCTTCACAGGGGAAAGTATTCAGCAGTATTCAGATCCCACTTTGCCAAATTCCTCTCTGGGAATTTCAGGTTGTGTTATGCATACCACAGCGAGGCTTGCTAAATAAGTAGGCTTTGCTCTGGTCCATGCAAGCTGGGAAACCCATGGCTTTGCCTAAAGTAAACGCCCTTTGCTCAACTCTGAAGGGATTGAAATGGTGCTCTGCAATTTTTTTTCAATAGATTTTAATCTTCAGTACATGCATAAAGTGGGAAGTGCACCCAAGGTAGCAAGTCCCAAATGTAGATGACTAAAGGTAGGAAGGCAGGGTGAACACAAAGCAGATGGGAAGCCAGTGTAGTGCATGTAACAGGAACAGACTGACCATCCATTAAACAGAAGGGTTGTTGCATTATGCACTAGCTCAAGGCAACTGAGTGGCTTTAAAAGTAGTCTTGTGTAGAGTAAACTGTGTAGTCAAACCTGCAGGTTAAAAGGCAGAGATGACAGCAAGGGGCTGAATTCAGAAGAGGAGATAACATTCAAACTTTTACACAGATCTAGAAAGTAAAAGCCAAATGAGAGCTACCCTGAAGTACAAGGGAAATCACATTTGCAATTGCCCTAAAATGTAAATCTTGGTGAAAGTTTACACAAAATATCAGAGGAGAGCCTCCATTTCTCTTTGCAAATAATGTCATATTTTTCAATTAGAGCAGTTTTATCCCTGTGTTTGGTAGGTATTGACATAGCAAATGATTGCACAGCTTGACATTACTGAAAAGAGAACTTAGAGCTTTTGTGAAATACAGCTTTGTAGGTCAGAACAGTTCAGTTAGTGGAGACTCCCACACGCATGCTAAACCACAGGAGCAGCAAAATAGACTCCCTGCTGGAATTGCCAAATGCTCAGTAGGAGAAGCAGCAAGCTTATGCTAGTCCCTGCCAGAGGAGAATGCTCACCCACAAAACCTCAAAGGAAAAGGTTTTTGAGGTTTCCAGTTCAGGGAAGCACAGTAGTTAGTTCTGTGTCAGTCCTCTCACCCCAAAGCAGAGGAAAGAAAATGCGTTGCCTGTCTCGTGGAAGTGGTGGGGCATGGCACCACATACGCTGCTTGAACAGAACATGTTTCAGCAAGGTTTCTCTGATTTACTTGCTCCTGCCTCCTCCCCCACCTTGTTGTTTTCGAAGGAAAAAGAGGAAGCAGACTCAAGCCAAATGCTATCCATTTTGCTTTCTGTTTCTTTCTTTTTTAAGTCATTGTTGAGATAATTGTAAAAGGTTATATTACTTACTTGCCACTGGTTATCATTGTGTGAGAGAGTTGTACACAGAGGTGGAAATTCAGGTGGAGCTGAGCAATGTATTTACATTTGGTTCTCTAAGCCTAGAAGCCTAATGTAGGTCTGGTTAGTCTTCAGAAATGAGAAGTGTATTTTTTCTTGTCAGAAAGATTTACACATCAAAGCAGAGCAACACCTGTGGATTTTTTTTTTTTTTTAATGCAGGTTTATTGAAGAAATTGAGTAAATGAGATTAAGCCTAGAAGTGTGTACATTGCCAAACATTTGCTGTGTGTTACAGAAGGTGGATTCAGTGGGTGCTGCCTATCCACTGGGCAGCAACTGGAAACTGGTTTAGTGATACTGAGAGTACTTAGGGTTTGTTGGGCCAAGATATTTGTATCTGGAAGGCTTTAATGAGACATTTTCCATATTGGAAAAATAATGTCATATATGGAATAAATTCTCATAACATTTGCCATTAAAATTTAGCTTTTATTGGGAAGGTATTTACAGGTACAAATTGCAGTTCTGACTAATGCATTACCTGTATTTTTGCTGATCATGCCATGTTAGGGATTTTTCTGGGCTGGGTGACTCTTTCCTCTATTTGACTACTGTTATATATGTTATATATAACTAAGTAAAAGCAGTTAATGACTTCCTCTAAGACAGCAAGATGAATTACCAGGTTTCAGTCATGTGAACAGCTGTACAAACTTTGTCTGCAAACTAATTGAATAGGTGTTAGTGTATACAGTGACAGGCTGTGCAGAACACTTTTGTTATCAAAGACTCGGGAAGAAGAAAGGCTTTTAGATCTAGAAACTGTTCCCAGTAATGGCATTTAGTGAAAAAGCTGAAGAGAAAGAATTAACTCAGCTGACTAGTTTAAAGGTGGATAAAAGCACACAGGGATTTCATGCAAAATTTTTATGGAATCCCTCCTGAAAAGAAATTTGAATCAAGGATCTCTGGGGTTAACTGAGTCATGTAAGGTAACAACAATAAATGAAAATTGATATCTAAAGAATTGTTAGGGCAGTAGGAATTGAAAAGAAAACAAATAGGTTAATAAAAACATGGACTAAGGTTCATAGTAACACATTCCAAGGCTCAAATACTCAACACAATGACACTTGGCATTCATTGAGAATTTAATGAAGGGATGGCATTTAACAGACAACCATAAATATGTCAGTATCAATGACAATAGAAATATTACCAAAACGACTGAAGAGAAAATTGGTCAGATTAAAGAAGGATTGTAATTTATACTTTTGAGAGAGTTTAAATTGGAAAGAACAGTCTAATTTACTTTTTGCACATTGAGATGTTTAACCAGTTTTTACAAATATCTGTTATTCAATTTACATCTCTTTCTCTTTTTATCCCCTGACAGCCTAGTCACTGTTGGTTGCATTTGATGGTGCCTGAATTTTCAAGGAGTCTACATAATCTTCTCCAGAAATTTTCAGATATTCCAGATATGTCGGATGTTTTAAGCAACTATTCAATCATCAATAATCTCACAAGGATAATCAATGATCTTATGGCATGCCTTGCTTTTGATAAAAACAAGGTAATTTTATACAGAGTTTCAGCTTTTGTACTGGATATTTATTTTTTACTTTCTGTTGCACAATATTCAGGAATAGTTTAGGAATTTCCAAGGCTGTATTAGATTTGTTTTCATTTCTATTCCTGAAATGCATTGAGTCTTTGTTTAGAAATGCATTGAGTACACTGTGCGAACATAGGTTAATTTTTATCTCCTGTTTCAAAGAAAAATGGCTTAGAAGGAATTACACTATATACAATGGCCTGTATGCAGTTATTTAAAGTCAGAAATGCAGTGATATTCCTTAAGATAATCCATTCTGATCTTTTTGAAACTATCAGAAATCTTCCTTGTGTATCCAGCTTAAATTATATATTTTGCTAGTGACCTTAATGTAAATTTAAAGATGATTTGGTTAAAGTTATTAATATACTCTTAGTATTTATCACAGTGTGTGAAGCTCTGAAAGCTTCTCCATGGTTTAATTAACTTTTTTATACAAAGGCACAGCAAAGACCAGAGGATATTTGTCCATTTCCATGTGTTTCTGGAATCTGACAGCAGCTGGAAGGATTCTCGCTCAAGAGATGTCTGATTTTCTGTGCAGGCAGGGAAGGGGGGAAGAAATTAATTTTCTAGTCTGTTATCCAGATCTGACCAGACTATCAGTAATTCAAAATAAGTTCTGTAGTTGAAGGTTTTGTCCCACTGAATAAAACAGGTAAAATACACCATGTCCTTTAGAGCAAGTATTTTATCTCCCATATACAGTTATTTCTATCAGCTAAGTCCTTAGTTTTTGTAATTCCAACTTTTCAACACCCAGAATGAATCAAATAAGTAAACACTCAGGTGCCTTTAGAGTGGAATAACCTTGTAAGCTTGCCATGTACTTGCATTGCACTGCTGTATTTAGATATTCCCTACTTTTCAATTTCAAACTGAATTATCTCCAATCTTCAGTGTATATATATTTTTTTTCTTTTCTATTTTTGTCCTGATGATTCAAAACACTCAGCTGGGATGTGGTTGGAGTTGAGGAATTTTATTTTGTAGAATGGCAAAGTAAATATCCTGTAGTTCAGCAAAACAACTAGCTATTGATTTCCTTAGAGAATAATGATCTTAAGTCTAGTACTTTCACCATCAAACATAAAATAATTTTGGAGCCAAAACCAGGAGGTTTTCTTTAGGACATACTTAGACCATGTTCTTACCACTGTCCTTCTTCTTAAGAGTACAGAGTAACCCCAGGCCAAACTTGACTTGCTGACATAAAAAAAAAAAAGAAGAAAACCTTCAATCATCACCATGGATCTCAAAATCATGTTGTTTAGTCTGGCATAACAAACGTGTCTGTTAGACCTCAGAGTGACTGGGCTTCCTTGTTTATAGTTGTTTTTATTTTTAGGTCTGTTATCAGGGATCTCTGCCTGTTTCTGAGCAGTGGTGTACCCCAGCTATTGTATTCTGTTCCATATTCTCTTGATGACAATACCAATGAATGTCCTGTTCAAGTGTTCCGATTAAAAGACTCATGTGAAACTTTGCAAAGTAATGTGAAATCAAGGGGGGTTTATTAATGAGGGGAATTTTAAAAAGTCTCTTGGTTTTCAGTATAGGATGGAAGACTGTCTTTCATTCCTTAGCAATTTTGCAACACTGTATTAATAATTCATTTCTATTTGCAAAGCTAATTTGAAATCCTCAGATCAGAAGGTTTCTTTGTTTTATGAAGATTGTATGCAGCTAATCTGGTTGTCTGGAGGTTAAAAATATAAATGATTTTCTATCATCTTTGGATATTTTTATCATTTGTTAAGGTGTTGAAATGAGCATCTCCCTTGACCTTCTTTCAAACTGAATTCTATATTTTACTCCAGGATTTTGTAAAAGAAAATGGTCACCTTTATGAAGAAGGTCACTTCATTCCTGAGGATTTTTTTAGGCACTTTAATAGTACCATTGAGGTCTACAAAGAGTCTGCAGACAGATTGGATAAGAATGACTGCATTCTGCCTTCAACAGTAGGAACACCAGAGAATGGTAAGAGGGGTCTCCTTTTGGGGAGCAGAACTAGGCAGATATAAATGTGTGATTTTCCTTGGATTTCAGAGATGCTAAAGATCTGATACCATGCCTCCATGTCACCTTTTTACTGCAAGTTAAAATAACTACTGACACTGAAGGTTGTGTTACTGTTAGAAGTCAAGTTCTAGTGCCATCACTCCTAGATACATCATTTCTCAGTATAATCAAAATAACCTCGCATTATGCTGCTCTGTGTCTATTCATCCAAAATATATCCTGAATTGTCTTTTTTACATTCTCCTTCTTATCTTCTCTTAATGCTCTATTTGGTTTTATAAGGCGGTAAAAGAGCCAAAGATTACACAACTGAAAGGAGAGGAAGTTAGGACAATCTGCAAGTCACAGCAGCCTCAAGTCACCTCAATTTAATCCCACTTTTCCTGAACAGAGAAATGTTTACTTCATTTGAACATTTTAACAAGCTCAGGTCAAGCTCCTGCAGCCCTTTCTTATCCTTCCAGTAAATGGAGGGTTTGTATTACCTTTTCTTTTACTCTCTCTAGTGACACATATTAGCTTTTTAATTAGGGCAATGTGTCCAGTTGTACAGTTACATCAGTAGTAACTAGAAGCAGATCAGTGCCATAACTTAAGAAGTTGTAAGCAGTAACTGCTTTTCCAGATTAGCTATTCACCAGCAACTCAGCATGTAGACACTTCTGCCTCTTAATAAAACTGCCTTTTTTGGCTTAATCCACTTTATGAACAATCCTACAGCCAGCTCTTAAAACAGCCCTATAGTCATATTAGAGTAGTCCTGTAGCCCATCATCCTATATACAGGGAACTGTATTTTAAGTTTCATAATTCTGACACATTCGTTTTCTATTTAGATTCCAGAGTCGCTGTTACAAAAACATTTTTGTTTCCTCCTGTTGCTGCCAGCTCTCTTAGGAATGACAGCATTGGCAGTAGCACTAGCAATAACAGTAAGTACAAGTGATTGAATATATGTCTCCATTTTGTTCTGGTAGCTGGTTGTGAGAGCTCAGAGGAAAAGAATGTCATTAATTGTGCAAATTAATGGGAAGTTACATGTTCCTGATGGTGTACCATGTGTTTCTCAGCTGTCATACTGAAATGCAATGAACTTATCTAATCAAAATGTAGAGATGCAATCGAGTTACGATTATGTGACAGCAATCTACAACTTGGAGAGGGCAGGCCTCTTCGTTTTGGCTGTCATGAGGTCTCACTAGTCATATGGCCTCAGAAAATTTGGCCAGACACTTCATTTTAATTCTCAGAAAAGAAAGTTGCTCCAAATGAACAGAATAGCTATCCTAAATTGGATGAGGGTACTCATGTGAACAAAGAGGATACCTGTACATTGCATTTTGAGGGTGCTGTCAATCCCAACCAAGCTTTACACCAGCCCTGAGGACAGTCCCTGTGTTTGTTTGGTGTAGTTGCGTAGGGCCACCTCCACAAGTCAGCATGCTTTTGCTTGGGGTTAATGACAAAGTCACTGTCTTTCTGGCAGGCTGTAATCTTCTCTCTGGCATACTCATGTCCACCTTTCTTATCTGTCTTGATCACATTTTACATGACAGCTCCCTGATAAGAGTCCAGAATTGTTGCTGTAAGAGCCTCAACATTACCTATCACGAGGTCAGAAAGGGTATAGGCATCTGAGGTGAAAGGAAACAGTGAAGTTTCAGGGGCTTTTAGTGACATCATGTACAACAAGGTGAACACTATCTGGAGCTTCCCACGTGAACAAGAGGGGATTTTCCTTCAAGGTTCCTGAAATGGTGATCAAAGTTTAACCTTGTTGTTTCCTCGTTCTCGTTTCCCAGACACGTCAAGATGACAACATGTATCTGGCTCTCTTTGCAATTTCCCCTTTTCAATTCACAAGCATCTCTGTTATCTGAATGTGTAATGATGTGACTGGTACTCCCTGTGCTTGAGGAAATATGTGCAGAGGGGCAGCCTGATGTATTCTAGTGGGCACAATGGTAGCTTCTGTTGGTGACACAGTTGCTACTAGGCCTGAGTGTTTCCTCATGATCCTTCTCTTTGGAATGTGTAATCTAGTTACCCTCTGGGCTTTTAGCACCATGAATGCTACCTCGTAGTTGGCTCACAGCTCCTATCAGATTTGAAGCCCTTCTTGATTGCTTTCTAATTAAGAGTAGGTCTTAAGTCATCACAGCCCAGAACCCTCAGAGTAGAAGGAATTAAAAAAACCCCTCAATTTCTGGCTGCCAGCCTGAGTCTTTGGAAAAGAGAAGACTCACTGTGGTAGATTTCTTGCCAGGAGGTCACAGAGCTGTCTGCAAATAACCTGATGAGCCCAGGGCCAACTCTGAGGCACTAGGAAGGGGTTAAAGTATTCATACCTGTCTCTCTCTCAGGTCTGAACATGTGATAATTTTTGCTGTCATTGCTAGAGGAAAAATATTCAGCCACAGCCTGAAGCAATGGGAATGGATCAAGAAGCCAAAAGACAGACAGGTTACAGGAGCAGTTCAGATGAAAGGAGTTTGACCCCATGCAGTAACAGGAGAAGGGGTGCCAGGCAGCGCAGTGGAGTGTGGCACCTGTGTCTGTATTGTGGAGGAGAGTGCAAAAGCAGGATTATTAATCTTGTTTTATAATTGGAACTGATAATCAAGTAGGAAAAAAGCTTAATTAAAATAATGCAGTAAATTGCTTGGCTACCATATGCTGTACAGGTGTGTTTTAACTGATTATCATTCTCTTAAGCAATTTATTAGAAAATTGGATATCAGTTAACAGCCTTATGTAGAAATTACATGAGGACTGCATGTCTGGCTGGGTCTGGGGACAGTTTGAACTCATAATCAGATTAAATTACATTAATTTGGATGCTGACTTGTTACACTGCAGTTACTCATTTGGAGGTTTTTTGCAGGGAGGGAGCTGTGGAATCTATATTGACTGTTTTATTTTTATCACTGTTTTATTCCCTGAAATGGCCTTTAGTGCCAATCGTAGTTTTGTCTTGACTTCATTGCTGAGGAAATTTTGGTTTTAGTTAATCCTTACCTTCTTGGGATGAATGACAGTGACTAAACCTTAGCACTTCCCCTGTAAAGACTCCCCAGCATAGTGTTCCCCTGACTTCAGTATTGTTTTCAGAAAAGCACCACTAAATTCAAATTTCAAAAAGGAAAACATTGAGAAAAGGGGAAGCTTGAAGAAAAGTATCTTCAGACACAAACTACAGTAATTTTTTTTAAAATTAACCCTTTAATTTTAAACAGTTTTAAGCTGAGTTATTTTTCAGTTTAATAGTTTCTAGAGCATTTAGAAGCATTTAGTGTTTGCAAAAGAACCCCTCCAGATTAATATATATCAATACAGTCTATTAATACAGTCTATGTAGTCAGATGAGTTGAACTGCCCCAATTCTAAATTCAACTTAGACAAATGTGAAGTGCATCATCCAATAAAATAATTTGTGAAATATAATAGAAATTGTATATAAATTAGCTAAGTTACATATTTTTATTCTTGCTACTTTTGTTGAGTCATATTTCATGACTCCATTGTTCTTACATGGCAATAAAATTAAACTACAATAATAGAGTCGAATCTCAGCTAAATATGCACAAAAAGTCTTAGCTCAGCCAAATGAAAAATAGAACAGTTATGCTATTGTAATTGGTTTTTGAATGGTAATAGTGCTTTATTCATTTTTGTATATTGAATATAGACTTGTAACTTGTTTCTGCTTCATCTTTTCTCAAAAGCAGAAAGATCTTTTCTTATTTCTCATAAAATTCTCAAAAGACTACAGCCACCATCCCAAATTTATTTAGGCTGCTTTGTTTTTTCCTCTTTGTGTTACCTGACTGTAATCCACTGAAGTTCCAATTAGCTGTTAAAGTTCCAGTCTTGCTCATATTTTTCTGCATGATTATACCACACATGGTCTAGAGGATGTAGATGAGAGGGTTCCTATGTAAAGAAGAAGGTTCAGGATAAGAAGTCTAGAGTCCTAATCTCTTCTTTCAGTGGCTGAAGCCATCAGATGAATTTCATGTTGCTCTGATCAAAGCTTGAACTTACTAGCTATGACTAAAACTTCTCCTTCAGTTGAATGCCATAACGTTCTTTAACTTCATGAAGAGCTCAGTGTTGCCTTCTTACATTTTTGTCTGTAATTTCCTCATAATAATTTAGCTCTATTATTTAGTACTGAGTAGCTCAAAGAGCATGTAAACACAGAGATCTCTGTAACTGTTTTTAGGAAGAAGGTCTACTTTTCTAATTAAGCAAAAAATACCATAGTTTAATTCAGTAATTGCACAACAATTTTAAAATGTTCACCCATGGCTTAATGCAATTGGTGCTGCTTTCTGTACCTTTGTTCCTTTGTTACAAGTTAATAGTTAATGGAAAACCCTAATGAACAGGTGAGAGCTGCTCTGCATTTTTACAGATAAGATCTTGTGGTAATTGTGTTGGAACTGAGCAGAGGTAAACTGGAAATTCCTTTGAGACATATATGGCAAAAAAAAAAAACCAAAAAAAAAAAAAGCCAGTGCTTTCAATCATAATCACATATGGCTCAATGTAGGAAGTGGCTCAAAAACTTCATTGTGTAGCTGAATGACTTTTAATGTAAATATATTTTGTTTACAGCTTAACATCACAATGTCCATGAAGACTATACATAAATCAGCATCAAATGAGTTCACTTCCTTAGGGAATCTTCCACAAGATACAGAGTGAGAGCTCTGAGAGGTGCTGGCCTGCATCCACTCCCTTTTTCACTCTGCTGGATAGAGTCAGCAGTTCCTCTGGCATTGCCCAAAGTGTTCATAAACTTATTGGTACACCTGATTTCTGCTATTCCTTCTCCTGCTCTGCCTTTATAACTGATGGGAATCAGAATCATTCTGTGTAGAGTTCCAAAGTTTCTAACAGACAAAAAGGTCCCTGTGGTAGCCAGCTTTCTTTCTTTCTCTGCATTTTCTTCATTAAGACAAGTCCCTGGGAAGTTCTCCAGACTGAAAATTCTTCAGCCTGTTCTGTTTTAAATTTTAATATAAATAAAAGGCACATGAAGAAACCTGCCATGACTCATTTCATTCTCCACAGATCTTTCAAGAGAATTTTTTCTGGACTTGAAAGTGAAATTAAATATTCTGGTTTTGCTTGCTTTTTAAGGTAGTTATGGATTACTTAACTTTCAAATTAATACATACACTGTCAGGTTGTGGAAAATCTGTTGTTATTTTTAAAAGGCAGGCTAAGAAGAGCATTATAATAGGACTGTATTTAGGCTCGATCCCTGGATTGCGTGTCCTCACATGGAAAGCAATTTATAAATTCCTTTCAGTTTTCCATAGATGATTAAGACATCATCTGCATTGGAGATAACTTCTCAGAAGTCAGAATTTTCCAGTTTTAGATACCTCATTATAAAGGGGTCTCTTCTGTTGTCTTAAATTGCATTAAGTTTGTGAAAAATACTGTTAAAAACAAAGGTACAAAATTATCACTGATTATCCTGCATGCAGAATATTTCTCTAGCAGTTCATGTAAAAAACAGCATGCTTGCCATGACATGCTGCCCAGCACTGTGGGTAGGCAGAAGGTTTTTGAGGTTATGCACTCTACCATAACATGTTATCAAACACATTATGCTCTACATGACCCGAAGAGTCTTTCCTTTGATTTTTATTTCACTTTTCAATTATTTTTTCTGAAGTTTGCGGGGTGGAATCCAGAAAACGTAGCCATCCCCATATGATTTACATAATTTAGCTGTAAAACTCAGCAGTCTCTCACTGAGAAGAATGGCATTAGGCAAATGAGGATTCGTTTTTACTTGCTTAGAGCATAAGAGCAATATCAGAATTTTCTTCTGAGAATATGAACAATATTCTCAAGAATATTGTTTATATTCTCAGAATATATATTTATTGAATTTATTGAATTTATTGAATATTGAATGTATATATTATTGAACTTATTATGAATATATTTATATTCAAGATAAACAATGACAGCAGAGCATTTCTAGTGTTGTTCAGGTTGGCCCCACCTACTTGATTTTGCCCAGTTTTCTTGCAGATCAGCTCTGCAAGCAAACATCCTCTGTGCCTAATCTGAGACAGAAAGCTAGAAAGGTTATGTCTCCCCAATTAATGTCTGCACTTGGCTTTAATGTCTGAGCAGCGAGAGGCAGACTAATCACTAGCCTCTCTTTTTCAGCTGATGTTCACCTCTGTAGAACTTTGTCTGCTATCTTTCCCTTCTGTAGACAGATTTCTTTCATGGTAAACTGGCATCAGTTCTGCTTGACTGATGTTTCCTTTTAGTATGCCGAAGCTACCAGATATAGGTGAAACTCAAGCCCCTACATTCAGAACCTAGACTTTGTAAACAGTGTGTGAGACACAGAGATGTATGTAGTATATGAATATATAAGATGTAGATTTTATGTTGTCTTGTTATTTCTAACAACGTTGAGCCTAGAAAACACAGCTGAATTTCAGAGATAAAAAGAATATTTGTCTAAAACTTGAAAAATGTCAACAGAAAAATCTGAGAGTTGAAAATGAGATGCTAGTTAATTGTAAGAACACTTCTTTCTAAACTAATGTATTTTCTTGGAGGCTGTTTAATAATGTACTAAACACATGTTGTTTGACCCAGAATATCATACTGTGTGTGCATAGACATTTGCTGTTTGCATGAGTCACGCAAATTTTGAGTGCTGTCAGTTCATTTTCATTTCTGTGTATCCAATCCCCTGCACTTTTCCAGTGCTTACAGTTTGGTTCTTTTTCTGTAATCTGTCAATACACCCACCATTTGAGCTGCAGACACGCAGTTTGAAATGAACCAAACCTGCGTGCACGACATCTAAAACACCAGTCTCCTGAGGTTCACTTTGCATTTCAGGAGGGTCCCCAGGTGATGCTGTTGGACTTTCCACATCCTGCTCTTAATTAAATAATCAAAGGGACAGATTTTAGTCTCAGCATGCATACAGCTCCCAGTGAGGGAAATGGAATTGTTTGTGTACATAAAAGAATAGGATTGGTGCTCTTCTATACAAAATGTTAAAAGCTATCATGAAATACTTATAACCAAATAACACAGTGTTAAAATTCAAGGTACAAGGGTTTGATCTTGCTGAAGTCAGCAGTACCTTTCCAGGAAGTTTTAGAAGTCATCAGGTTTATTCTGTTAAATTAACATCCCCTGTGAGCCTTCATGTTGGTCATTGATTAATAGCAAGGCAAAGTGCCTGCAGTCAGTGGGAGCTGCCTGATGAACTAGTGCAAATGCATGAATTGGTATATATTCTTTTCCAAATAAGTGCTTTGTGTTTCAAAGTAAAACCTTTAAAAATTAAGAAATTCAAAACTTTGAAGTGTGGGAAAGAGATGATTCTCTACAAATGGCAAAAAGAGAATTGGTGTTGGTACTTTTCAACACTGTTGTTTCAGAACTGGGTGGAGCATCCTTGTGGTCAGAAATTTCCTGTAAGATTTTGTATGAAGTGCATCTCATGTACATTGCACTTTGAAGTATCTGTTCTGCTATTTAAGATGCTGTTATGTAGGTGGTGCATGAAAGTGCTCTTGCTAATAGTATTGCCCTGAAGACAGTTTTCTGCTATAAATCTGTCTTCACTAATGAGAGTATCTTTAATTACAGATGAAGCACTTGGCTTCATTAGCAGCTCCAGCCTGCAAGGGATCAGCATAGCACTGACATCATTGCTGTCTCTCCTTATTGGCTTTATTTTGGGAGCCATATACTGGAAGGTAAGAGATACTACATATAATTGTTTACATAGTGTGGGGAGGTGAGAATAAGAGAACCATTCTGTGTTTGAAAGCAAGCGATATCTCTTTTGACCTCCATTTAACTGTGACTTGCAGATGTAAATCTGTGTGTCAAGTTCTTGAATTCAACCATCAAAGTGCAAATCCTGACTTATCAGCATGATTGCTCTCTAATTGGAAACAAAAATTGTGTGATTCACTCAATTTTCCATTTCTCCTATTGTATATTGAGAAAGAATTCTTTTGCCTTTGGCCCCTATGCCCCTGCCTGCAATACAAAGACTTCAAGAGTAAAATTTATATCAGTAGTAGATGTATGTTAGAGTACAAGGTTTGGCCTACATTTTGCAAGATGACTTTGATATTGAACATCTGAAGCAAATTGAAACATTCAATTGTTGAGTTACTAAAGAAAGCTTTAGAATATTTATAGATTTAGAATATTTATATTTAGTGCATTTTATTCCTAGAAAATACATCCCAAATCCAGACCAGAAAGTGATGAAACTACACAGTGCCATGACTACCAAGAGGAAAATGAGATAAGGTATATTTTTTCACTTAAAATTTGTATTTACAGGTGTAATTTTATCTCTGAGAACTACTTCCTGTTTAGCTGTGTGACAAACACAAAAAAACCCCCAAACACAAGGTCTTACTGCAAAGGTAAAATATGTGCTTAGAGTGTACCATTTAAAGGACTTTCTGGTTTAAACACAGAAATTGATATGGAGGATAGTTCTGCGTACAACACTTTATTATGGGGACATTTTTTTTATCTGTCTTTATTCCTACTGTGAGAAAGGATTGCTGAGACCTATAGGAAAACCAACAAAATTAAGTAAATGTTATTTGCTGTGTGGTGTAAAGCTAGGCTGAATTTATAGAAATAAATAGAAAGCAATGTCTTTCTGGTTGTGCTACTAAATCCTTTTAAATACCTTTTACAATAAAATTTTTTATGTTCTTTCACTTTTTTACATTCCCCAGGGTACTATGTTTTCCAGGTTGGGTTTTTTTTTTTTTTTTGTTTGTTTGTTTGTTTGTTTTTGTTTTTTTGATATTTGTGGAAAGTTAATGCGAACTCATTCAAATGCTAATAACTTCTTAAGGTCGTCCTGAAATGATTCACAGCTCTCTTCCTACTTATACACTGATTTGTCTGATTATTAAAGAGAGAAAGTTCTGAATGAATCAAAAATATCTTAGAAATAACAGTTCAAGGCTTTGAAGTTCCTTGGACATGACTTGGGCAAGGAATTCTGTGAAATCCAGGAAAGGACTTAGGGACATTTTAAGTAAGAGTAGTCCATGCTAAAGCATTTTGAGAGTATTGTTTAACTTCATATTTAATGATGTTTGGTCAGATTTTAACTATGAATGATTTAGGGACAGATCTGATGCAGGTGGCTGAAGGACATGTCCTGTAGTGTCCTCACACTGTGTGAAATGCCTCGTGCTGCCCATTGGTGAAGGGACAAATAGCCAAGGTTCTGATCTAGCAGTTTAGCCACAGGAGCTGAAATTTTCCATGTTAAAGCTTGCTAAAGTAATAAATTCTTAAAACAAATTTTCTTCATATACAGTATCTGGAATTGAAGGCTGTGTATTCATTTTGCCAAGTATATTAGTTTCTACAAATAACTCATTCTGCACATCATCCTCATAGGTGTTAAATCCTGTGAAATGGAACATACGTTTTCCTTTTAACCCCACAGAAAATACAAAACATTTTTTTATATGAAGAAAAGATGACACAGTTAAATGCAGGAGAGGGCCTTTGCAGGACCTTGAAACAGATTGCATTCTCTATCAGATGTCTTCGTAAATGTATGGCATGTGTTTTGGCATGCATGGCATAGATGACCATTGCAAATTTCTCCTCCCTGAGAAATTAGAAATATTCATCTATAAGTAGGAAGAACTAATATCAAAAATGAATTATAATTCTTTGGGTTCCCTCCTTTAAATTTTAACTAACTTATAAACCCTTCTATTCTATTTCCTTGGAAGGCTATTACTGAAGTAATAAAGTAGCTTTTTTTTCCCCCCCCCAGTATGTTGCAGCAAAAAGAAAAGGAACATCTACAAGTGTAGCTGTTGCTTTTTCTCCCTCAACACTGTTACTGTTTCGTGTACTGGTAAGTTGGTTGTTGTGAGAGTTTTAGCATAGATTTAACTACTTTCAACTGCTGCAATATAAAGTGATTCAGGGTCCATTTTCAGGAAAAAAAGAATTTAGCATTTAATAGGTGTATAAGATCTTTAGCAGCTAATTTAATTAATCCTGTATCATTAATGTAGACCTTTGATTTTTAACTTGAATGCTTCAAAATGAAATTTACAAGAATTCCGGAATAAAGGACAGCTACTGCTTCTCCTTTTTGGTGTTAGAGCTGATACAGAGAAGCCTTCAGCTGTTACACTACAGCTGTTTCAAAGCAAGGTGAACTGAAAAGCACAATCTAGTAAAATTAGCAGGTGAGTGTAGGAGAACAGGCCAAGTAGAGCTGAGCTTTTATATAATTGCAACTTAGTCAGCACATTTCTGTAGTCTCTGTAGCCTTATCAGATGCATCAGTCTTACTTTAGTGTGTGAGAGTGAGCAGCAAAGGCGAGGTTTCTCAGTTCCAGCTGTCCTCTGCAGAGCAGCACTTCTCTGGCAAGAGGCTTCTTACCGCAGAAAATGTGCTGTATTTAACCCATGGCATCTATGTAAGAGTCTGGAAAATTCAGACAGTGCTGAACTCTTCATTATTTATCATGAGTGGAAAGAGCAGTGTTAGAGTATAACAGACAATCTCAGTTTTGCAGTTCTTCCTGTAGCAGTTACTCTCAGGTGTTCAATATGATTGAGTTAGCTGCAACTTGAGAGGTTTTCCATTCTCCTTAACTGCTTTGTTCTACCATATGCTCATTGAGAAGCAAAGTTGTCACTGCATTGGACAAGTTGTTCTATTTTTCCAAAGATGTAAACTCAGTTTGGTTTGTCCAGATGACTTCAAAGGGAAGTTTGCTGCCAGAGATTGCCAATACCAAAATGCCCAAACAGTTATGTAAAACATGAGAGTGGTTCCGTTACCTTAGATGACATCAGTGAGCTTGTGCAGGCAAGTGTGTTCTTGCATCAGGAAAGTACATTTTATAACATTTTTCCTTCTGAGTAAAGAAATCCCTATGCAAGTGTCATTAAATTTATTTCCAAAATTATAAGAAAAACATGTCTATGTCATATGTCTTTGAAAAGATCTACTGTTTAGTAATACAGAAAGGAAAACTAATCAGGAAAGTCAGAATTTTTGTTTTTCTCTTCAGGCAGGTAACAGTTCCATGTTCGCTTCATAAATGAAGCAGCTTTAAGCACATTCGTATTCCTTCTGGAGTGACAGACTGAGTCTGCTTCTGTTGTTGCTGCCCATGACTCCATAGACATGATACAGAAATGAGGACAATTTGTGTTTGTTACTGTGAAACCAACACTGAATTGAACAATGACAAGAAGAGTGTGCACTTAGCAGGACTGTATCTTATGTGAATATCTACCTTGTGTGACATTTGAGGTTTTTTAATTGCATTAATACTTTCAGCTGACTGGCAAACAAAGTATGTCCTGAACAAAAAAAACGCATCTTTCAAATGCCTCCAACAGTGTGTAATCATTGCAAGTCATAAATACCTTTGCATCCTTAATTTAAATTCTGTGTCCTCAACCTTAAATTGATGTCTTCAGATGAAGGTCTCTGAACTGACAGAAAACGCAGAAATGGATACAGATAACATACTCTTCAATATTGTATATAAAACTTGAAAGCAAAGTCATGCCCTGAGCTCGTGTTCTAGACTTAGACTTATAAGGAGCTGTGTTTATGCCTGTCAAAGGCAGTGTGTACAGCAACACGTGGTCTCTATCGGGTGCCAGGTGGCTGATTGCCCACCCCAGAAAGCCTCAAGAATTCATCAGCGTTGGTGGTCTCTGTTCAGGAGAACCAAATACTGGATGCAGACAAAGTAAACAGGAGGTGAATGTACCTCATGGAGCTTCGAAGAATTAAGTGTAACTGCTGGGTGTGTGAACACTGGTGAAATTTCCAGTCGTGCTAAGGCAAAGTAAAGAGTCTGAATTGCGTTCAAACATCACAATAAAGACAAACCCATGAAATGCATTTTAAATTCTGAAGATGCATGCCATTTATACCTTGTCTGTAAATGTATAGCATAGAAAATCTGAAAGATCCTGAGAGTGTATTTAGCTTTTACTTACATCAGCTGTAATTAATGTTTGCATTGTGTTTTAAGTGATTAGTAAGCTTTAATATCCTGGCATTCTCCACTCTTGAAAGTTAATTCTTTTGAAACAAAAGAGAAATGCTTTGTTTCCCACCTGTCTTTTGCATCTATTACTGTTGCAGTATCCATGGAATATGAACAGGACTGATGTACAGATGTGCATTTTCAAGTAAATCCTAAAAATACCATGGTAAAAGTTACAAGTGTAGTTGTGCATCTTTTCATCTTGTCTCTTCCCACCTAATGAGTATGAATTATTTACCTGTATTAGGGGTTGTAATTCAGAAGGATAAATGGTAAAGGCTCACATAAGGTGACAAACTGTCATCTATCATGATATTGACCAGGTCAGCAAGAGTTTTAGTTTAAATAACTTGAAAACTTAAAAAAACAAAAAAAAAAAAAAAAAAAAAACCAAAAAAGAAAAACCAACACCAACCCTTTTAAAGTTTTGCATAAAGTTGGAGTTCTCCTTAAAATGTATAGTTACTAAATTTTTAAGCGTCCTTGTGGAAGATTTAATCTTCTGCTCAATTTTCTGAGAACCATGCATAAAAAGACTATTTCATACATATAATATATACATGTGTATGTGTGTGTGTGTGTGCATGCGTGTGTGTGTCTGTGTGTATTATTGGTAAAACTGTCTTTCAGACTTGCACAAAGAAAAAAATCTCAGAACCTTACCATACTTGATGATGTGGCATGTAGCTACACTGTGTGGAATTTTGACCCTACCGCAATAAGGTTGACATTTTTCATGAATTCACTGATGGAAGGTTTTGATCATGCAGAATTTTTATTTATACTCAGGCCCGTTGTGCACTTTCTGTTTGTCAGAAAAGGGTCTTCACGTCCTACTCAGCTGGTATAAATTAGCATAGTTCTATTAAGGATAGCAGAACTTTGTGGTTTGCATCACCTGAGGAACTTCTCTTAGACTACGTCGAAAGAAGCTTAGTGTCAGAATTAGGCCTTCACATTTATTCTGAAGATGCTGAGCGCTCACCAGTTAATAACCAGGGATGCTTATCACTTCTAAAAAGCAAGTGCATTCCTCAAACAATGGAATTCCCCATATAACGCTGAGTCCTTTGACTCTGTGTAGTTCTTTACTCACAAGGCCCTCAGACTTTGAGTTTCAAACTTTTTTATGATGTACCCGAAAAGAAATGTCAGCGTGACCTAATTGATGAAAATTTGCACCTTATTGGTAATGCAGAGAATAACTATGTATTGGTTTTGAATGAATGGAAAAGTGTCCACAGTAAATGGGAGCAATTATCCTTACATATTGTATGAAAACCTTAAATACTTCATACAATGCGCTCTTGAGGCTAGCTTATGCATTTGAGGGTTTGGGTTTTTTCCTTAGCTTCAGTAAAACAAAAATTTTATATTTATTAATGTTCTCTGTTGATAAAAAATATTCCGTTTTCTAAATGCATTCTTTTATTAAATACTCAATAACACTTTATTTGGGTCATATTGGTCTGCCCCAAATTATACTTTAATATTCAAAAGCATGACATTTTAGGCTTCTTAATCTTCAATACTATAGAAAATATCAGTTATGAATTGAAACATAAAATAAATAAAAATTGACTATGACAAAATGTTCACTTTTCAGGAGCAACATCTTAAAGTAAGTCACTTTCAAATAATGTCAGACACTTCAATATCTCCTGTGGAGCAAGGTAAATTTTAAGTTATATGAGATCAGAAAGAAAGCTCATGTATACTTTTGACCTTCACATCGCGAACATTTTTCTTTGAATGTGCACAAAAGTTGTGTGACACCTGGAGTAGCAGAACTGTTGTTGGACCACATGGTTTTCCCATTCTTTGCCCTCATTTTGAGAGATCTGAACACAAGAGAGATCTCACTGGGTGTTCTCAATCCTTTTGCAAACCAGAAGGAGACTTCTGGACATTTGGGGATACACTAGGTGGCATGGCACTTTGAAGTGGCATCGTGAATTTACTAGAAACTTTCTGTGCCCACTGAGGAGATCTTTACTTTGCACATAGTGAGATTCTGAAAGACTACTGACTTGTGAGACATCTTTGAAATCAATGGAAGTAGAGTAATGTACTCTTCAGTTGGAGATGGGGTGGCAGAAATAGACCTTTAATGCTTCTTAATTTCTAAAGAGTTTAACTTCTAAAGAGTGATCAGTTTTTCAGTCTTCTTTTTGGGTAGACAGAGCCCATGCATTAACACAATTGGAAAATCAACACACTCCTTCTTAGAATAAAACTGGGGAAAAAAATGTGTGTTTTATTTTTTCTATACAAAAGTCAACCAAATTTGGCTTTTGGATATCTGTGGCTTGGTGAGAAATGTAACATTTTTAGGTTTCCTTTGAAATAGTTGAACTTTGCATGCAATTACTTGTGGCCTTGTGAGAATAAAAAAGCAGATAGTCTTATACTGGGTAACTGTTCTACTTTAGATGTGTGTTTACTTGAATGAATTAATGGTACTTATTTCATCACAAGGTCATTTTATAAGCATATAAAATGTGCTTTACTATGGAGTATGTGTAAAACCTGCATATGTTTTGGATTCTCATCTGCAGCAGCTCTGTTTTCTCTGTTGCTCTACGTAATATGCTGAAACTCTTCAGTACACAAAACAGAATTATTAATTTGAAAATTTAACAATACACATAGAATACTGATATTTTGAGTTTGATTTATGTTTAAGAATTATCTAACATTTTTCAATTCATAAATCTGATTCAACTGTTTTAAATGCAGATTTACAGTAATGGTGGCATGTTGCTATTTTGTTATCAAATTAATGGAACGTGGAAACTTCAGACTCTTTAGTGATAGAGACACAGATGTTTGCTGGTTGCATTATGGGCAAATTCATTTATTTCAATGTAAATGTCAGCACAGTTTTGCATAGTTACATTCTGACTGAAGGTAATCCACAAAGTTTATAAAATGTGATGTGTATGTACATATGTGTCCTCTTAAAGATAGATGTTTTCCCAGATCCCTTTTTATACCAGTTCAGATTTGGAATTTACATTATATACATATGCTTTATTGTTCTAAATAAAGATATTATGCACTGTCAAATAATTAGTATATTGCATTGTGTTAGTCCCAATTAAGACATTTTTATGTCCTGTCGTGATCTGAAAGAATTCTCTGTCAGAACATATGCTACTTGATGCGGACTCCGTCACTTGATGCAGACATTTCCTGATGATGCACTTCTTTTGCAGGGAGTGGCATTTACCAGGATCTTTCAGTAGAAACCAGAGCTTATCCTGGTAAGGATGGCATCCTTACTTTAAGTTTTCAGCAGCTTACTATGGCTTTTCTGTAAGAAGTCTGGGATGGGATGAGTTTGGGAGGAAAAAACTGAGCTGCTCAGGGAGCTCTGGCACCTCTCCATTCCTGAGAGAGAATGAAAAGTTGCCAGTTAAGACAAAGAGGTAAACCTGCTGAGACTTTCAGCCTGCCTCAGAGAACACTAATAAGCCTTGGAAGGCAGAGGGGATGTTGCAGTAGGCAGATACAGAGGGATTAGTAAATAAGAATAAAGCAGAGACAGGACTGACGAGGAAGAGTAGAGCAGGGTTAATGGCCTGGGACACAGGGGAACAGATTCAGGAGATGCTGGAATTTGGGGTATGAATGAAAACTGTGGCTGCTGATCTGGACACAGCCAGAAGTGCAGAATTGATGGCTTGAAGAAGGCCATGAAACAGCCATCACTGATGGTGTAGCAGGAGTCATGCCCTGAGGAGCAGCACTGGTGGCTCAGGTGGGTCAGCAGTAGGATGGCACTTGATTCAGCTAAGGCTCCATGAGCACCATGTAACTGCAGAGTTGGAAATGAGTGTACTTCATGAGCAAGCTGCATTAATGCAACGAATACTCTAATTTGACCTGGAATTTTGGGAAGGCAGAAGTAACAGTAGGGTACCTAGAAATGAGATGTGAGCACTCTTAGCTAACAAAACAACTCTTGCTGAAGTCAGGAGCTGGTAACTCATAATCTGGTTCAATGTCCAGATGGAGATTGGTGGTGAGGGGTGTCCTTCAAAGGTCTGTATTGGCAAGGGTAGTGTTTAATATCTTCATCAATGCCACAGACAATGGGATCAAGTGCTCCCTCACCATGTTCACAGACAGCACCAAGCTGAGTGGTCCCAAATGTATCTCAAGCTGCATGAAGAGGAAGCATGGCCAGCAGGTTGAGGGAAGTGACTCTGGCCCTCTGCTCCATGCTGGTGACACTCCACCTGAAGTATTGCATCCAGCTCTGGAGCCCCAGCACACAAGAGGCATGGACCTGTTGGAGAGGGTCCAGAAGAGGGACGCAAAAATGGTTAGGGAGATGAAATATGTTCCTGTGAAAAAAGGGTGAGAGGTTTTGGGCTATTTAGTTTGGAGAAGAGAAGGCTCTGGGGAGCCATTATTGCAGCCTTCTAGTACTTAGTGAGAGCTTACAAGAAAGATAGTGGCTTTTTGGTAGGAACCATTGCAATAAGACAAAGGGCAATGGTTTTAAATCAGACAGATTCAGACTAGATATAAAGAAGGAATTTTCCAATTTTCTACAGTAAGAAAGGTGAAATACTGGAACAGGTTGTCCAGAGAAGTTCCCCGGAAGGTCAGGTTGAATAGAGCTCAGAGCAAACTGATCTAGTTGAAGGTGCCCCTGCTCATTTCAGGCGGGCTGTTCTGGATTGTCTTTAAAGCCAAACTAATGTATGATTCTATAAATTGTAGCATATGCAGATGGAGTAAAGGGCAAGAGGGAAGGTCTGGGAAAACATGCAGCCCTTCAGCCAATATTTTTGGTAGTCTGTTTTACAGTGTTTGGTGCCTTACATAATGCTGACTAACTGCACACCACCATCACTGCTTAATCTGAACCCTGCAGATTTAAATGTGCTAAAGGATTGAGAGAAATATTTACCTTCAGTTTTCCAATTTTCGTTTCTCCAAAACAATGAATATAAATATCTTGTTCAGTAGATGGAAACAAAGGCTGTCTTTGTCCAAATCCTGGACAGCATTAATAATGACATTTTCCTACTTCTGTCATGCAGAAAAACAATGCTTATTATAATAAACAACTCTTTCTTGATAGCAATATGTTTTAACAGCTTAACACTTCCATGAAATGACTGTATTTTAGATGAGCTGGATATATGCCCACTCCACATACACTCCATGCTACACTCCCATGTAATTTTATTCCATGTTAACAAATGTGTGTTACTAAACATATTTTTGCCCAAAGCTTCTGAATGGTAATAAATAATATGTTTTCATCTTAACAAGATGGGTTGTTTCAGGATTTCGCACTACATTAACAGCTTATAGAACCACTTCCTTACTACTCTTCATGTAGCTATTTATGACAATTTTTCTCCCAAAGTTCAAACGTTTTTAAAGTGGATTAAGTTTCCCAATAGCTACAAAGAAGCATGTGCTAACACAATCAACTTTTATGTCATTACATACTTAAAAGGAATTATTATGTGATGGTGCATAGTGGAAAATATGGTTAAATTAAAGCAGACTGCCAAAATTGCAGAGAGTGCAAAAGAAAAGTTTAGCCCTCTTTTTCCCATGCTGTGTCCCAAGGTAGGTTATTTCATGTAACAGGAAAAATCCCAAATGCAATTATATTCCTCTGACTTGTGGCCCCTTCTGCAAAATTCCACCATAAGCAAGCAGGAAGTAAAAATACACATGAGACTTTTTCCAGACAGACATGAGCCTTAGGCTTCTGGCCAGTCACAAAATGCAAGGACAATTTTCATTCTCTTTTGGCAAGATATTTTCTTGAGCTCATGGAAGAATATTCAGCTGAGATCACAAAAGTCTCTTTGTTTGTCACCAGTTCTGCTCTGCAGGATAATAGCATGATAGCAAAATTGGCCCAATTAGAGTAAAGAAGCTGCAGAGCAGAATGTATAGCTTTTGTCATTTTAAGTGACTACCACAAGTGACAAAATGTCATCTTAGAAATTTCCCCTTGTCATCTCCTCCATTGTGAATGATGATTATTAGGACCCCCCAGGTTATTTAATCTGTCATGTTCTTAAAGTCAAATATTTTAGACCTTCCTTTTTCTCAGCAGTGCTGTCATCACTAACAAAACACAGAACAGCCTTCACCTTTAGAAATGACAAAAATGGGGATGTGTCTCAAAACCAATTAATAGCATCAGTGAAGGCAGAGGCATAGCATCTAAATCTTTTAAATATCATCCCCAAGAATAAAGCAATGAATTCTTAGATGCAATTACTCCTTTGCCAGAAGTTGAGAAGAAAGTATCTCATTGACATGGTGGTACCACTTGGCAATTTGTTGTTAAGTCTTGTTTCATATTGATCTAGAGGAATCCAACTGCCTCAGTCAGTAAGCACTGTGTTTTCTTGATGATATTTTAAATGTTCCAACCTCTGGATCAAACAAAGAGTTTGTGGGAATGAAGAATGCTATTAAGTGCTATAATTGGGTACTCACTGCATTTCAAATAGAAATTTGTGCTACAGTCAGTGCTACACGGCAAAGTTTAAGTGGGCATCCTAATGTACCTGTAACGTGTGTGGGATGAGGGGTGCTGATGGGGGTGGAGGAGGAGGTGGTGCTTCAATGTAGCAAATTTTTTTAGCAAATCAGGTAAACTTCAATCATATACCCTGAAGGAATGGCTGCATATCACAGGATCTCTTCACAAATCCAACCCTTGGCAAGAGTGAGCCTCAGGACTGCCAAGTTCCATGCACTGATCAAAAGGTTCTCTGGGCATCCCACGCTGTGCTGCGCTCCCCAGCCTTTGGCAGCTCAACACCATCGCCCTTCCTGCTCCATGACTGTCTGTGCCAGAACCACACACACCTACCATGTTCCCTGGGGGTTCAGGTAATGAATCCATCTATATTTCCATATAGGCCACCAACGTTATTTCATTGAGAGCCAAAAATCTGACTAGGGGTTGCATAACTGGTCTTCTCTATTTCAACCTGGACTACAACTGGAAACTCGGCAAAGCCCCAGGTTTTTTCTCTTGCATATACACACCTTTGTGTCCTGTTATTATCCACTCCCTCCTTCAGCCCCCACCCAGACTTCCAGTGCTCTCCTGTTGAGTCATACTCAGCAATTAAAGCATCATGTATCCTGGTTGCAGTTAGCAGCCCTACCATTAGCAGTTTTTATGTAGACAGTAAACAATTGGGTTAGTATTTAGGAAGAAAACACTTCAAAATGTTTAGCAAAAGATTAGACTTCTGGGGTCAGCTATAACTGGGGTACTGCTAGTCTGACTGCAAACTGCACTGCACAGCAGTATGCGTGCCAGCTGCGAGCACGAAAATTCCCACAGTTTTCCTCAGAGGAACAAACAGTTTATGCTGAATAAATACGTCAACTCTGTTTTCCTCTAAAAATATTTGCCCATCAGATTTTAAGATAGCAAGAGCTAGTCAATTTAATCAGATGCTTCTTTGTGCAGTCCTCTCTCATAGGGTTCCTGCTGATAAAACTTCCTGAACAAACTGACTGAAGTCTGACCTTTCCTTCTGGTGACCCTCGTGTTGATCTTACTCAGATTGACTATAGCCTGCAGCCATTTTGACAGGTTTCATCTTCATCCCCACCACCTCCTGTGGCCCTTGCCTATCCAACCATGGGTCAACTCAAGCTCTGTGCTCTTCCCACCCAAAACTCCGTGTCCATTACCAAACCTTGCTGTGTTGACCAAGGCTGAGGAGCAGCACATGTTTCCAGACCAAAGACCCATTCCAACACCTTCTGCACCTTCTTACAGCCATCCAGGCCAGGCTTGCATGTTCTGACCAGTCAGACACAAAGCATATGTCCTTGGAGGCAAACACGGTCCACTGCAGCCTCATGCCACAACAGCAGGGCTGCTCCACAGGCTGTGGGAAGCCATGCAGTGCCAGTTTTTGGCTTCCATCTACCCTGATATATTTTGCACAGCAACCCAGATTCAAAGGGAGAGAGAAGCATGGCTATGTACCCATCTTGATGAGCAGGGCATTGAGAAGCCCTTTATTTCATTTTCCCTCTTTCACAGACAA